TGGAATCAGGAAATTGAGCAGTACCTGCGTGCCTTCACAAGCCACAGGCAGGATGATTGGGCGAAGCAGTTGCCGCTCGCGGAATTCGCACTGAACAACCGAGTTCACTCCGCGACCGGGCACTCCCCTTTCTACCTGCATCAAGGGTACAATCCTGAGATCCAGGTTCGGATCAACCCGATGTCTGCGATGCCTGCGGCCGCTGATCGGCTCAAGATCTTGAAGGAGATCAGGGATGATACGCGCTCTGCGCTTGAGCTATCAGCCGAGCGCATGAAGGTGTACTACGACAAGCACGTGCAGGAGGCACCAGTCTTCGCGCCGGGGGACAAGGTCTGGCTTGACGCTCGGAACCTTAAGCTGAAACAGCCGAGCAAGAAGCTCAGTCCCAAGCGCCTCGGACCTTATGCCGTGCGACGAAAGCTCGGAGACTTGGATTACGAATTAGTCCTGCCAAAGTCGGTGCCGGTACACCCGGTATTCCATGTCTCCTTGCTTAGCAAGTACACACGTAGCGATATCCCGGGCCGGGAGCCGGAGGAACCGCCTGCGATCGAGGTTGAGGGCGACGAGGAGTACGAGGTTGAGCGGATCAAGGACTCGAGGATCTTCCGGCGTCAACTACAGTACCTCGTCAAGTGGAAGGGTTATGACGACTCGCATACGTCATGGGAACCGGCGCGCAACGTAGCCAATGCGCCGGCCCTCATAGCCGACTTCCACCGGAAGAATCCGAACGCCCCTCGCCGCCTCAACGCTGCTGCATTTGGTGGTCTCAACTTCCAGCCAATGCCTTCGCCGCTAACTGAAGCACGCTGTCGCTCCGGATGGGAGATGGGCAAGGGCGCCTCGCATGAGGTCATGCGCCGTTGAGGGGAGGGTAATGTCACGAGTTGGTACGGCGCCTAGCCGTTTTTTAATTTTTTCCTTTTCGCGGGCTCGAACCCGCGACCTCTGTACTACTTGCCTGATATGGACACTTCGTTATCTACTGTACGATTAGATTAGATGGGGCGGCAGCGCACGGCACAGCTCGGGCTCCGCTGACACAGCCGCTCTGACTCACCGGCCCCCGGGGCCGCGTCGGCATGCTGTGCACGGACCAGCTGCGCACGGACCAACGCGCACAGCCTGCCCTAATCTCCCCATGTATATAAACCGGCCTCTGCTGCCCTAGGGACCTCAGTTTCGACCTCTTGTCCCTAGGTCAGTAAGCCCTCACTTGTATCCTTACTTACCCTTTACTAACTAATACATTTCTTGTCCCTAGCCTTAGGTTTGAGCGCTGCTC